ACCGTGCACACCTGTGCGGCCTACAGACCACATTGCCGGTGTTCCCAGGCTGGGGCAGTGGGCGGATGGACGTCCAATGCCTTCACACACATCATACACGACTCCAGCCACATGCAAACCCCCACAGTGCAGCATTTGGAGGCCTGTCCTCGTTAATGTGTCCCTTTGCGTCTTGCTGGAAACCCAGGCTCTCTGTCCAGACTCCTCTAATAGATGTTCATCAGGTAAACACACTCTGTTTCCCAAGCAACACTTTTTCCTCCCTCAATGCCATTCATCTTTTTAATTCCTTTCCTTCTCTCAAAATTCCTCCCTCCTCCATTTCTTAGTAGCACTGTCTACCCACACCAGATGTTAGCAGATCCCAAACCTTCTCTGGCATCTTATAAATTTTCCCAGTCCCCTCCTGGAGTTGTAAATCAAAACTATTCTCATCTCTACCTGAGTCTGCTGCCAGCCAAATAGGGGGAAGATATTCTTTGTTGGCTCATTTGGTAAATAATCTGCCTGCAATTCAGGAGACCCAGGTTCAATCCCTGGGTCGGGAAGATACCCTGGAGGAGGGAATGGCAACCCAATACTCCAGTATTCTCATCTGGAGAATTCCATGGACAGAGAAGCCTGGCGGGCTACAGTCCATGGGGTCACAAAGTGTGGACATGACTGAGTGACTCACACACACACACACACACACACACACACACACGAGCCCAAGATGAGATAGGGAAGGGGTGCAAGGGATTTGGCATGGCTCTCCACATCCCGGATAGTTTGACTTTTTGCTTTTCTTTGCTTGTTTCCTGGTACACACACTATACATACACAACACACACACACATATCACTGTAAGAATTCATCCTATCATTGTCCTCTTTGGTTTCCATATGGACTCAAATCTCCATGTCAACCAGTGCTGACGTGTGTGAGTTCACTATGTAGAAAGACGGTTGGTTCTGCTCTGACCTCAAGTGACGTGGCAGAGGCCCATCCACCACTTTGGCACTGGGAGGAGCCAGGCCGGAGTACCCTTCCCTAACTCCTGAGCCATCCAGCCACCTCATTTGGATGCTGTCTGTGCATCTCCTCAATGGACACGTTGGCACTTGTTCCCGCCTCATTCTCTGTTCTCCTCCGTAACTGCTGTCCTGTGTAGAGTGAATAAACAGGGCAGCCAACCCCAAGGCCCACAGATGTCCTTCAGTGGCTGCTGTAATCAGTCAGATAGTGGGTAAAAGCCACACTCAGGGATGACCCAAGAGACCTTGGTTGAAACACTGTGACAGCTTCCTGGGAAAGTCTCAGCATATTTTTGGCAATCCTATTGAAGAGTGAAGTGTCAGGTAGGTCCTATACTTGAGGAAGGCATGATTCAAGCCACCATCACACCAACACCCTCAGCGTTCTCTCCGAAGAAAGTTGCTTCAGTCCCCCTTGGGTCATGCTCTTACTCACTGACACATCTGAAATAGCGTGTCTTATACATCCACCACTGGAGGGCCTCATGGACCTCATCCCCCTACCTGTTTGCCTGGGGGCAAGCTCAACATGAGGGCCTGAAACCAGTGCCCCAAACCCTAATATGTACCTGAAAAGTAGGATAGGGCAGCTAGGTGTCCCCACCCCGGGTGCCGGTCCATTTACGCTGAAAGTCCACTCCACAGAAAAATCACCAGGACTGTCAATCCTGGGGGAGACTGCCAATAATTAATCATCTCTTCTTCCACATTTGGCTCAGTGGTAAAGAATCCGCCTGCCAGTGCAGGAGACTCAGGTTCAATCCCTGGATCAGGAAGATCCCCTGGAGAAGGAAATGGCAACCCACTCCAGTATTCTTGCCTGGAGAATTCCTTGGACAGAGAAGCCTGGTGGGCTACAGTCCAGGAGGTCTTAGAGATGGACATGACTGAGCACACATTGCTACCTTTGCCACACACCCGTCTTCCATATTAGTAGAGCTTAGCCCCAGCATTGGGCTGCTCCACCAGAGACTATTTTTCCCAGACACTGCTGAGGCTGGGAGTGACCAAGTGACTAAGCGACAAAGCCATGAGCAACTTCCTCCTCGTTGTCGAAAGGAAGTTGCTTATCCTGAACTTCTGCTTCTTGCCCTTCCCTCGAGTTAGAAAATCAAATCGCCTAGCTTTCACCACGCATTTGAAACCCTTCATGCCGTGAAACCATCTGAGAGTCTGATTGTACCTGTGGATCCCTTCTCAGAAAGACAGGTTTAAGTGCATGAAATAAAATACACCTTAAAACATTGACTGAATGGGCTTCCCTGGCGGCTCAGACAGTAAAGAATCTGTCTGCAATTCAGGAGACCCACGTTCGATCCTTGGGTTAGGAAGATCCCCTGGAGAAGGGAATGGCAACCCACTCCAGTATTCTTACCTGGAGAATCCCATGGACAGAAAAGCCTGGTGGGCAACAGTCCATGGGGTTGTAAATAGCAGCACATAACAGACGTGACTTATCAGGCAGGCAGAGTGACTGAAGTTTGAAACACTGATAATCCCTAATATCTGTGAGAATGTGGAGCAACTAGAACACTTAAACATTGCTTCCTAATGAAAGCATAATCTCATTCAACCAGTTTGAAAAATAGTTCAGTAGAATCTACAAGAACCACACATGTGATCACCTTGCAACCCAGCAATCCCACCCAAGAGAAACGAGTCCATATGTTGGCAAAGATATATATAAGAATGTTTTTGACTATTAGACATAGCTTTATGTCCAATAGTCTAAAAAACATTTAGATATAGCTCTATGTCTAACAGTCAAAAACAAGAAAAAACTCATATGTCTAACAGGAGAACAGAGAAATTGTTTCTATTCATAAAATGAAACACTACATAGCAGGAAAGGGAGTGGATTGCTGACATAGACAAAATCATGGATGAACCCCACAGACATTATGTTGTGTGAAGGAAGCCAACACGAACGTGTCCAGATGTTAATCATATGTATCGCGGTGACTATTTCACAACACAAATAAATATCAAATCATTACCTTGTACACCTGAAGCTAATATGATATGTCAGTTATATCTTAATAAAAAAATGTTCAGATGACAGAGGGAGAGGGAAAAACGCAGAGCACAGAGGATTCTTAGGGCAGTCAATACCATAATGGTAGATATATCCTTATACATTTGTCCAAATTCACAGAATGTACGACACCAAGAGTGAACACTAAGGTAAACTATGCACTTAGGGTGATTATGACATGTCCATGTAGGTTCCTGCATGTGTGCGTACTCAATCATGTCTGACTATTTGCCAACCCACGGACTGAAGCCCACTGGGCTCCTCTGTCCATAGAATTCTCCAGACAAAAATACTGGAATGGATTGCCATTTCCTACTCCAGGGAATCTTCCTGATCCAGGGATTGAACCCATGTCTCTTATGTCTCCTGCACTGGGAGGTAGAATCTTTACTGCTGAGCCACCTGGAAAACCCCCGTGTTGGTTTAAAAAAGAAGGAGCATTCTGGAGAGTGGTGCTGATAAAGGTGGAAGCTATGCATGTGGGAACAGGGTCTGTGGTTCTCTGTGCCTTTCTCTCAGTTTTCTTGTAAACCTAAAACTGTTCTAAACAATTGTCCTTTAAAAAAAAGTGCACATACTATATGATTTCATTTAAATGTCAAGAACAAATAACACTAATTAGTGGTAACAGTAGTCTGAATAATAGTTACTTTTGCAAGAGCATCACCAAAAGAAAACTGGGAAAAACCAAAGGGAAATGTTCTTTGGTGATGAAGTTCTACATTTTGGTACCATTAAAATGTATAATTTCAGCTAGCCAGACGCTTCACGCTTGTGTGTATTTAAGACACTGTGTATATGTTGTAACTCAGTGAAAAAGCAGATTTCACATGTAAGTAGAAAATAAAATTATTGAAATATAAATAAATTGCTTTGAAATATGCTTAAAATGTTGTCTATGTTTTAAAGACTAATCTGTGATATAGTGATATATACGCTTTAGTGAGCTCTCTAATAATAAGTAGCAGCAGTTTTAACCATTACTGGTGTTGTTGCTGTGGTTCATTCGATAGGTCGTGTCCACCTCTGCAGCCCCGTGGACCGCCGCAGTCCGGGTTCCCCTGTCCCTCACCATCTCCTGGAGTTTGCTCAAATTCATGTCCATAATTTCAAGGTAATGATGAATATAAATTATCAAGACAACTGAAACCTATATAAAATATCTATTATTCATATAGGAGATGAATTCACAAGTAGTATGGCTAATAGTACCAAGGTTTGTTTCCTATGTTCATAATTGAAGGAAATGTTAATATAAAGATGCGATTTTTTTCCCAAGCCAAGTTTATGGAGCCTCTGAACTCTATCCATGGACTCTCTGGGGGTCTGAGAACCCCAGGTTAGGAAGCCCTGGGGGACAATGAAGCAACAGCATGTAGGTACCTAGGTCACAGAACCACTGTGAGGAGCACAGCTTCCCCGTCAGTCTGGCGCATTTTCCACAGGGCTGTTCAGTGAACCAGCCAATAGAGGGCTCTTTGTTACAGCAGCCTAGTCTTTGTACTAACTAGTACAGATTACTACTAGGTGGACATGTAGACTATGAGCCTCTTCCACCAAATCCAGGTGGGGACCTACTTCTCAGACCCCTGTTATTTGGAAACTATCTGCCATTCTCCCTACAGGGAAACCCCATGGATTATCTGCCCCTAGAAGATCCACTGACTGGGTGAGACCTCTAGTGTCCAGTTCCCTTCCTCCCCTTTTCATACTTACCCCATCTCAGTCCCCAGGCAGGATTCAGCAGGAAGACCACGTTACAGACCGTGTCACAATCCCCCATCCTACTCTCTGATGCCCAGGTCAGTGGCTGAGACATGCAGCCACACTAGTAGGTGGTGACCCACAGCGTGTCACCATCTCCAGCAGTGGTGATTGTCACACCTGCCGTCTGAGAGCTCCAGGTGAAAACCCCGAACCCCAGCACGTACGTAGTGGTGAAAACTCACATTTAGCACAACCTTTCCGTCAACGTCCCTTCCAGAGCCTCTCCTTCATAAGCAAGGAGGAAATGTTCTCCCTGAGAAGATTTAGAAAGTGAAAGTGTTATTGGCTCAGTCATGTCCGACTCTCTGGACCCTATAGACTCTAGCCCACCAGGCTTCTCTGTCCCTGGAATTCTCCAGGCAAGAATACTGGAGTGGGTTTCCCTGCCCTTCATTAAGTCTAAAAATGTTTAAGAAGATTAAACCCAGAGAGTCTAATAAATGTATTTTTGTGTTACAGAATCTGAGGATTTGCATTTCATACATTTTCGAAGTGTTTAATAATTGGGTTATTAGAGTCAGAGAAGTTAGCATAGTGATTCAGATTTCAAATATATAACTTTTCTTTGTGATAATTTGACTGAAATCTCACTGTGCTTTTACACTATTAGAATACTGAAGAGATTATCTGTTTAGTTTAACATTTTAATTAGCTATTTAAGAACTTGAGACAGTTTTGTTGCATTAAAGTTTTAGGTATATTTTTAAAAATCAAGTATACTACAATCATAACAAAGGGAATTTAAATTGTAAAAGCTCCTCTGAAAATGATGGCTAAAATGTGTCAAATTAGTAAAGACAGTAACATATGTGAATTGGATGTCAATACTTAAGAAAGAACTAGGTTTTTACAAATTTTAATTTGTTGCAATTAACTTTTAACATCAAAGTAAATCCCTGAAAGATCAGCAAAAACTCTGTTTAACCACAGCCAACCCATACCTGATGACTAACTGCCCAGAAACTCTGGTTTATGAGATTCTCATGCTGGGCTGGTTCTCAAAGTCTCCGGAGAAGCTTGTTTAAGACATGATTGCTCAGCCTCCTCTCCAAACTGAGTCAGGAATTTGGGTGAAGTCGGAGTGCCAAGATTCCCTCTTCCTATCTCAGGGGTGAGCACACTTCTAGGGTACTAAAGTCTGCTTCATATTCATTTCATTTGTCACCAGGCTTGCAGTGAGGAACTGAAAATGCTTTACATGCGATTTCTGATTCACAGTCATGTCTGGCTGTGGGCGATCATAACTCTGTGGCACTATGGACTCACACACATCTCCATGGTAACCGTTCACTCTCTGGTCTCCATGGTGAGGTTTTTAAGGACCCTCAAATGTACTTTATTCAAAATTCTAAATGATTTTGCTATTGATCTGGCAAGCACAAAGAGCCATTTTTAAAAATAACTCTCCAGTCCTATTTCAGGAGTATTATAAAAAAGGAAAGAAAATAGGAAGAAAAGCAATGGTGATAAACCAGCCCCTCTCATGAAAGCTCATTCTATGTGGCGATGAATTAGAATAGCAAAGTTAAATGATGCAAAATTGAATTAAATCACCTACATCTTTTTTTAATCTGACATGCATTTGTCAGAATTCATTTTGCATTATTTAACACACAAAACGATTCACTGTTTGACTAAATATCACTTCTACACACTTAAGACAAAGAAATCATTTCAATATCCTCCATACAGGAGACATTTCTCTTTACAGACTTACTCAGATGTCTGATTATGGGGAACCAACTGACAGAAGACTGTTGAATTAAACTGCCAGCCCCCAATGAAGAGGATGCCTCACAGTTAAAAATACACAAGGTAGAGAGAAGAGTTGTAATATCAACTGTCCCTTCAGTAGCGACACAGAGAAAGTATATCACTGTTTTCCTTTTGTTAAGATCTGGGTTTATTTACAAATGGAATTATTAAATAAGGAATCACCCTCCACTGGGGGTTTTCCAGGTGGTGATAGTGGTAAAGAACACACCTGCTAATGCAGGAGATGTAAGAGACACAAGTTCAATTCCTGGGCCTGGAAGATCCCTTAGGGGAGGGCAAGGCCACTCACTCCAGTGTTCTTGCCTGGAGAATCCGTGGACAGAGGAATCTGGTGGGCTACAGCCATAGGGTCACACAGAGTCGGACACGACTGAAGCGACTTAGCACACAAACAGGCACCCTCCACATTTCTCCCAGGCATCAATATGTACGCATTGATTGCTCACCTGAGAAGTAGGAGAATCCACTCACTAGAAAGACAGACATGAACTGACTGCATGTGGTCCATTGAGCAATGACAATTGTTTTCGAGGTAAAGGAGCTGGCCCCAGGCAGCATGACGGATGCTCGCTTTGCTCTGAAGGCCTGACCACGGTGCCTACCTCTGACCAGGCTGTGCCCCTGGCCTCTCTCGGGCTCCTGGCCAAGCGCTGACCTGTTTCTGCACTTTTCCCATGGGAGGACCTTCTGAGTGCTTAGACACCTCCAGCTGTGGCATTTCCGAGGCCGTGTTACCTCTGTGGGGTGTGGCAGAGCTCAGGAGTATGAAAGTTTAATTCTGTGAACGACATACCTGGACGCTGGGCTCCGGGAAATTCTTCACCTTTTCTTTCTCTCATATCCCTGCTGCACTCGCTCTCAGCGTAGGCACCCCTACTGAGAACCAATGGATGAGTGAATGAATCAGAGAGTATAGACAGTACAAGCAAGGGCGTGGGCAGGACGCGAGCAGCCTGTGTCCCCGCTCCTGTGGGCCAGCAGGCTGGACTACCAGGGCTGGGTGCTGTCGGCCTCATGCTTCCACTGCCTTGGGGGGAGGGCTACACCCCTTTTGGACCCACTCTCACATCTGGGACAACTCCTAAGAGAAGGTGCCACCTCCCTAGGCTTGGCCTGAGCGTGTAAAAGGAGCTTATTCTGAATTCAGGCTTAACTGTTGTCTTCACTGTTACTTTTCTTCAGTGTGTTTCCACATCTTATCTCTTTTGGAACAAAGGACTTTCATTCTTCTACTATCATGGGGCTCTAGTCTCATAACTTGTAAGTGACATTGACCTTCTTGTTAAAAACAAGTGTTCTCTTTTCTTAAATTGAAGTACAGTTGATTTGCCATGTTGTGTTAATTTCTCCTTTTATGTATATACAGTGATTCAGTTATATGTATATATACATCTTTTTTAAAAATATATTCTTTTCCACTGTGGTTTATCATATTGAATACAGTTCCCTGTGCTATATAGTAGGACCTTGTTGTTTACCCATCCTATATGTAAGAGCTTGCATCAGCTAATCCCAACCTCCCAATCCATCCCTCCCCACCCCTCACCTGCCCCTTGGCAACCACAGATCTGTTCTGTATGTCTGTGAATCTAAAGCAAGTATTCCTCTAAAAGAATTACAGATGTGATGAGTGGTGATTTGGGAAGAAACTGAGGTAGGCTCTGTTTACCCCTCAAGATCTACTTCTGGTTCTGAACCCCAACACCACTTTCTATACGTCTTTCTGAAGTCACCTAGCATCCTAAGGCCTTGTTTTCCTCATCTGTGAAACAAGCTGGAAAAATAGAAGCTGGTTCTGCTCCAGCTTCAGGATTCTCTTCTCTGCCAGAGGGTCTCCTGCAACCAGCAAGGCGCAGGACTGTTGGATTCTGAGGTTGTACCCTAGTGCAGCTTCACTGGGGCCCTGGTGCTATAAGGAGAGTGGGATGGTGCTGAGATAGCAATAGATGACAGGTGTAGGCCAGGTACTGTCACCCAAGAGGCCATTTTTTAAGATCAGGAGTTCACACAAAATCACCGGATGCCCTTTCTGGAAACCTGGAAAGGCTGAGGTGGAAATAGATGGTGTGGGACGTGAGACGTTCAATCACCATTTATATATATATATATATATATAAAGTATATATTTATGTGCTTGTTTTTGGCTGTTTTGGGTCTTCGTCGCTCTATTTGCGTTCTCTCTAGTTTCGGTGAGCAGGGGCTACTCCTTGTTGCAGGTAGCTCCTCTTTTTGTAGAGCACGGGGCTCTAGGGCGTGTAGACTCAGTAGCTGTGGTACATTCACTTTGTTGCCTCGAGGTACCTAGGATGTTCCTGGACCAGGGATTGAACCCATGTCCCCTACATTGGAAGGCAGATTCTTAATCGCTGGACCACCAGGAAAGTCCAATCACTGGTTTGTTTGGACAAATTTAACTGAAGAGTACCTTGGTCATCTGTACAGTTTTTATTGGGCTTCCAGCCTGCAGCACAGGAGATGAGTTCGATTCCTGGACCAGCAAGATCCCCTGGAGAAGGAAACAGCAACAGGCTCCAGTATTCTTGCCTAGGAAATCCCATGAACAGAGAAGCCTGGTGGGCTCTAGTCCATGGGATTTCAAAAAGTCGGACACAACTTAGCAACTAAATAACAACAGTGGTGTGTGGTAGGCCAAATAAAGCACCCTCCCTCCAAAGACTTCCACACAGTATTCCTTGGAAGCTGTGTCTATGTTGGGTTTTGAGGCAAGGGGAGAATGAATGTTACAGGTGGAACTAAGATGACTAATCAGCTGGCCTTAAAGAGGGTATTCTGGATTTTGCAGCTGGGCCCAATGTAAGCCCAGGAGTCATTTGGAGGGGAAGAGGAAGGTAAAAGGGTCAGAGTCAGAGAAGGTGCTGCCCTGCCAGCTTTGACCACGGAGGAAGGGGCCAAGAGCCAGCAAGTGCAGGAGGCCCTAAGAGCTGGGCAGGTCAGGAAACAGATTCCCCCAGAGCCTCTGGACCAGCACACCCCTGCTGCCACCTCAATTCTGACTCAGGAAGACCCACCTCAGGCTTCTGGCCTCCAGAACTGTGAGAGAAGAAATGCATGTTTTTGAAGCCATTCATGTGGCAACTTGTACCAGCAGTAGCAGGAAATGAGTAGATGACATGTATTCTAATGCTTCAGAGGTTTGCTATAGTGATTTTGTTAGGGTGGCTGAAATTGATCCATCTAAAGCAACATAAATAGTCAATTTAAAATTCCTTAATAAAAATCCTGGGAAATGAAATGTACGTTCTATTGGGTTGAATAAAGACAATTATTCCATCTTTTGTTGTCACTCTGAGTTGAGAACACCAGCTGATCACGGAGACAGGGTGAGGGGCCCAAACTGAGAGAAAAATGGGGAAAGAAGCCGCAGGAATGAAACTGGGTTGAGCTCAAGCACCAGGTTCCAAATACAAGAGAGAAGTCAGGATGGTCGACATGTGTGGTTCCTGGAGATCTCACGGAGGGCACTGGCCGGGCAGGTGTTGGGCCCAGGAAGCAGAGCACACAGGTGTCCTGAACTCGAGGCTGGGTCAGGAGAGGAGGAAAACGAAGACAGCAGACTCGCAGCACCCAGTGGGGACCACCCACCTCCACCACAATGCCTCTCACCCAAACCCACCCCCCACCCCCCACAGTGGGGAAGAGCCCGTTCCATTCCGGGGACACAGAGGCTGGACTGGGCCAGACACGCAGGAGGATATTAATCAGGTGAACCTCGCTGACCGGACGGGGGGAGAGGGGAGGGTACAGTGCAGGACACATGCGGACGTTTGCCCAGTTATAGCATAAGTGATTTTATTTATCTGGTCACTTCTAATCTTTTTACTATGACACATGTCAGACATATACAAAAGAAGAGACATGGCCTATTTATCTGCACCCTCAACTATTTCCCCCCCGGGAAAGCAAGTCGCAGAGGACCTATCACTTCATCTCTAAATGTTTCAGCGTTGTCTGTAAAAGGTGAAGGCTCTACCTGACCAGTTTTAAATAAAAATACCCTAGCGCCTGTGTTTCAGCCCCCTCACCCAGCCTGCTTCTCCGGTCCCTCTCAGCTGTCTGGCTTTCCTTCACTTTGGAAGCGCTGTAATTGGCCATCGGCTGGGACATCTGGGGAGCACCTCTGACAGCCAGGCTCCGATCAACACAGATTGCCAGGTGTCCTGGTCTTACCATTCACCAAGGACTCGTGAGTGTGTTCCTCGTCTCCAGGAGATTCTGGAGTCCAGCCAGGTCTGGCCACATATCTTGCAGTCCCTTCTTCATTCCAGGGTAGAAGCAAGTGAACTCGAGCTACCGGCAGGAAAGTGGGTTTTTGCAAAGTTATTTGAAATAGATAGCATCATAATTTTCAGACCACTCGTCCCTCCATGTGGTTAAACACTTGTGGAGAGCCAGGCATTGATTAGGTATTTTATTCATTTTTAATACTTTTTTTTTTGGCCATGCCACGTGGCTTGTGGTATCTTAGTTTCCCAACCAGGTATTGAACCCTCACTATCAGCCCTGAAAGCTCCGAGTCCTAACTGCTGGACCACCTGGGCTAGATATGTTAAATGTTTCGCTGAAACCTTCCTCTGAAGTTGGCACCATTACACATGACAATGACAATTCCCCCGTTTTACAAATGAGCAATCTCAGGATCAAAAAGTAGAGACGCCTGCCAGGGTTGACTCTAGAACACCCCGGAATACCAGCCCTGGTTGGTCTGGCTCCCACACCCATGCTCTGATGGATGACCCCAGGCCTCCCCCACTCCCACCTTCCTTCCCTCACCACCTTTGCCCTCCACTTCACGGCCAGCAAGGGGGGTGGCTGCTGGAACCCCGGTCCCTTTTCCCCCAGTACAGAGCACTTCACCACAATTCGGTGATGCATAGAGAGTAAACAGAGTCCTCACCTCTAAGCTTTTCAAATCTCAGGATTCAACTTTCCAGAAAGTTAATGAAGCTTTGAATTCATGGGCTTTCATTGCCAGGACTCTCCAGGTCCTGGGAGGGGCCCTTTTGAAATGTCCACACAGGCTTATGTTTTCATAAAATTGGCAAAAGTCAGTGATTTCTAAGTTATTTTTCTTAAACAAAAACCCTGGGAGTTATGTAAGCTCCAGGCCCCATGACCAGGAACCCTCCTTGCAAACCTCCCTGTTCCCAGACACCTTTGTGGTTCTCCTTTGTCGGCTAGAGGCCTGAGGGGTCTGGGGGCGATGTTGAATGGGGACCCCACAGTGGGGCAGCAGGAAGTGTGTGCCTGGCTTCAGATATTTGCATAGTGGAATTTTCCCATAGGAAACCTGACATAGTACCTATGTGTAGTTGAAAGAATATGTTGACGATATTCATCACGTACACTGTGAATTAAATGAGCTTTGAGGACAGGCCGGGGAAACCAAGACCAGACAGAATATTGTTCCCATACAAAATATGTTCCAAATACCAATGGCCAACATAAGATGATGCTATCTGGGCACCACTGCCAGAAGTGACTATAACCACCTGCACGTGTGCAGACCCTCCCCTGCTGCAGGGCTCAGCCTGAGGATCTGCTTTGTGAGTCTCCCTGCACTGGCTCCAAGCTCCCGTCCCCTTGCGATCTGAAATTCCAACACGTTTATCTCTACGTCTCTTGCGACACTTACTATAATACCTTCTCATTTGAATTATAGTTATTTGGGAACATGATTCAGCTTGTCTACTTCACTGCAAGTCCAATGGGAAGGGCCTTTTCTCATTCATCTTGAAATTCCCTCAGCGGCTAAACACAAGTCCATAAATCCTTGTTGGCAGAGTGACTGAATGAATTTGTGATCTAGTGAATGAAATTTGTCANTTTGGCCGTGCTGCATCTTAGTTGCTTTGTGTGGGATCTAATGCTCTGACCAGGGATCAAACCTGGGCCCCCTGCATTGGGAGTGCAGAGTCTTAGCCACTCAATAACCAGTGAAATCCCTAAGCTTCTTTAGGAAGGGATCTTGACCCTGTTTTTTTGCATCCTCCACAGTGTTGAATACTGGGGCCTGGGCAGAGCAAGGGCTTAGTGAATATTGGTTGTCTGAATGATTACGCTTCAGGCAGAGGTACCTTAGAGTCTGTGGAATCACACCTACTCTAAGGTGCCTTGATGAAGTGGTCATCCAGTCTCTGGCAGGAAAAATGAGCTGCCAGAGATTTGAGACTGACCGGCAGGACCGAGAATGTCCCCATTCTCTTAAACATCTTCACTATCAGGAGCAAGGTTGCTCTGAGACAACTTGAACTGCTAAAAATAAAGAAGTATTTTTTTTTCTTTTTTTCTGTGTGTGGTTCTAGTAAATTTTTTAAAATTGAAATATAAATGATATACAATGTTGTCTTAATTTCTGCTGTATAGCAAAATGATTCAATTTTACATATATATATATTCTTTTTCATATTCTTTTTCCATTATGATTTATCTTAGATATTGAATACAGATCCCTGTGCTACACAATAGGACCTTGTTGTTCATCCATCCTGTATGCAATAGTTTGCATCTAATCCCAAACTCCCAATCCATCCCTCCCCCACCCTCTCTCCCCCACTTGGCCACCACCAGTCTAGTCTGTTCTCTATGTCTGTGAGTCTCTTTCTGTTTCATGGATAAGTTCATTTGTTGACACAAATTTTAGATTCCATATATAAGTGATATCATGTGGTATTTGTCTTTTACTTTCTAACTTCCTTCACTTAGTTTGATCTTCTCTAATCGTATCCATGTTGCTGTAAACGGAATTATTTCGTTCTTTTTTATGGCTGAGTAGTATTAAAAGAGTAACTTCTTTAACTTTCAAAACAAAATGAAGAGTGAAAAAATTAAATAAAATCAAATATCAGGAAACTGAAAAGCAAAAGAGCACTTATGCTGCTCTATGTCCTGGTGTTAGATCAAAAACTTCTTATAGGGAAGCAGTTCTTTTGTACCAATTGTACTTCTTGCAGCAGGTGGATCCCTGGAGTTTTTATCCCCACAGGCCTGGTGGGGAGTTGGCGGAATTAACTTCCTTTCCCTGCCTTGTTAACAACCTTAGACATCACAGGGTGTTCTGGCCTGAGGCCGCTCCTAGTACAGTTTGCACAAGGACAGGTGTGTTCAGGAATAGTTATAAAGCCGAGATATAGCCCCACAGGCCTCACCATCACAGGGCTGCACCACTGTGTCTGTAAGCTGCTGCCAGCACATTCGCTCTCAAAGTGGTCTGAAATGAAATGGCACTTGTTGAAGAAGAGAGACATTCCATACGTTGTTAAGAACAACAGCTAGAAAAACGACTACCCAGTTCAGACTGTATTGAACAGTATCACCAGAACCACAATTGGTGACCCATGGGAGGATCTCTATAAAGTCAAATCAGGACAGGAAACACCGGGTCCGTGTGCAGAGAGAACCAAGTGCTCAGCGGGTCCGGAGCAAAGCAGGCTGAGTGTGGGCGCCGCCCCAACAGGCCTACTCTTGGGTCAGTGCCACTGTCCAGTCGCCTGTTTACAGAGAAGGAAAGTCAGGCCCAGGCAACATGGCGGGCAGCTGGAGGTCTTGATTCAACACTGGACCTGCTGGAGAGGGAGAAGGAGATGGGGAGGGAGGGATGGTGGGTGAGGGAACTGGAGCTCTACCTAGACTCTGTGCATTTGAGGTCTTCCGCCTTTTCAGTTACCCCAGCCATGCTCCTCAAGATTAAAGGTGGTAAAGGCTTCATAATCAGACAGATCTGGATGGGACCCTTCCTGCTGACTCTTATCAATGCTGCAAAATTGGGCAGGCTACTTACTCTCTCTAAGGTTCAACTTTCTCATCAACTTTCTCTCCTTGGAGCTGGCATTTCCACACAGTATTATTGTGAACACCACGCATTGAGCACTGGGTCTGGATCACAGAAGATGCTCAGTAAATGATTTTCTCTTTGCTCTTATCCACAGTCCGCAGTGGGATTGCACATCCTATGACACCCAGCCTTGGGTACTTCTTTACTGAGTGTAGCCTGGAAGGATCTTGGCTGGCTCCAGGGTATCAATAAGTGGTAGACAGCCCCAAGTACATTTCTTTATTTTGCATTCATGCAAGTCACCTTTTGTGGGAGCTAGGAGGGGGCTGAGGGACTGTGGGGATGTCCCCCTCATTTCGAGCAGCCCCCTCAGCTTCTCCAGCCCACTTTCTGCTCACTGCCAATTCTGAGTCAATTTACATTTAAATTTCTGATGAGAGACAGGAGAGCAACCACGTCACTCATCCCTATTACTTGCCCTACACTTTGAGATTTCACGGGACAGCTACACATGGCCACCTCATAACCTTCTGCACTGCCTGGACTTCCCTGGAGCACACTTGCTACCAAGCATTTATGTTCTCCTGGCCGGAGGGAATAAATGAGAGATACTCAGCAACTCACTTGTCCTTGGTGCCCATGCCCAGTGAACTTTTGCAAAGTCTTCAGCAAACACGGATACAGTTGTGCAGAGAACTATGATCAAGCAGACTTTAAACAAGATGAAGAGGCATAAGGTCAAGGGAAAAATATAACAGAGGACAAACCAGGAAAGACAACTGTGAATGCCGCATAGCAGCACCTGTTCTAAAGGGGCCAGAGTCAGTACTCTTCTTTTGACATGAATGGTTTGATTTTGGTGCCAGTCTATCATTTTTGGTAGTGTCTGGGTTTTATTTTACAGAAACTGAGATGGTGGTATCTTGCCTGATTTTTTTTTTTTATCTGTTATTTAAGAGAATCTCATATTGGGACCTTCCACTTTGGGGGCATTCTAAAAGATGGACATTTTGAAGTTACCCAGGTGACTACCAACAAGTACAGTTCTGACACTGTTGGGCCTGAATTCTGAAAGCAGGGGTTGAGGGCTGGTCAGTAGGGGACAACGGTCATTTGTGGAGAAAGGAAGTGGATAACTCAGAATCTTTATAACAAGAGGCAACACCATGTCATCCAGTAAGGTTTCAAACCTTTATTCCGTGAAAAGAATGGTTAGAAAGCACAGAATACATTTTTAAGAGATTATACATCCGTCAGATGACTTCCCAAGTGGACAAATGATGAAGAATCTGCCTGCCAATGCAGGAGATGTAAGAGACTAGGGCTCAATCCCTGGGTCAGGAAGATCCCCTGGAGTAAGAAATGGCAACCTGCTCCAGTATTCTTGCCTGGAAAATTCCATGGGCAGAGGAGCCTCATGGGCTACAAGTCCATGGGGTCACAAAGAGTTGGACATGACTAACTAACTGAGCGCACACACACATACATACATCAGAACAGAGCCACAGCAAACATTTAGTAGAAAAGGAAGTGTGAGAAGGAGGCTGCAAAAGGTGGGAGATTTTCCTTCAATTCATGTGGCTTTGTGTGAGTATCAGTAGTAATTAGCAGGGAAGTCTGTCCTACTACTAGAAGATGGTTTTAAATTTTTAAAGAGAAGTGTGCTGACTTGTCGATTTATGGATACATAATTCTGCGAGTGATTTATTAGATGTCTAAAAGTCATCATTTCCCCCAAACAACTGAGTATCAGCGTAGGGGACAAGATGGTTGTATTTCTGCCTACAAATAATGTTGGTCATACTGATTACAGGCACATTTGCTTTGCAGATGCACCTTTGAACTTGTAGCAAGTGATGTGTTCTTTACCTTGACAAAAGGGCAGCAATACATACATATGTGACATTAATGTGACAATACTGGGTGGATACTTTCTTGGAAGAGCTTGGCCTTCTTAGAAGAAGAAGAGAAAGGATTTCAGTTTCTTCGTAGAAAATGTTTTGATAGATTTAATATAAAATACAAACACATGAAAAGTACATGACCTGTAGTAGCAGAATTTTGCCTGCTTCATAGAGATCCCCATCTATACAAGCATTTTCAGGTCTTCCATATACGAATTTCAGATCCCTTAAGGATAAGCAAGAGAAACAGAGACGTGGAGAGTGAAATATGCCAGACCTTTGGCTGAGAACTTGGACACTTTGTTCCACTTAATTTTCATCATGATTCCAGAAGCTGTGCGTCAGGAACTGTCCTAGAAAACGTGACGTTGTGCTGCTGCTGGTTGCAGCAGAGATAAGATGCTCTTTCTATCAACTCCTAGTGTCTCTGTTACCAAAATATAGAAATAGGGCATGAAATTCTCTTCTCAGAGAATATGGCTGGTAAACCATTTATATCTTGAGTAATTTTGAAAACTAGTGTAATATGGTAAAGTTTTGTCCATGAAAGGGAACCAAAGAGGAGTTTCTGTAGTCAAAATGCAACTTGTATATCAGCTTGAGGTTGTAACTTAAATGATGGATATTATGAGATGGAGACATTCATAATAGACCTTCATATCCAATTGGGAAACATTAAATTTTTCCTACAGGTTTGGGGCTTATTTATTTTTAAAATGACACTTATATTTGAAATGATACTTCCTAGTGTCATATCTGCTCACATGATAACATTCTATGAGAGGCCAACAGTACAGCTGTGAATTTATAGAAACATTTCTTGGTCTTGTTTTCTGTACAACGTTTGGTTTTTGACTTTGGAAGGATTGATGAAAGAAATCTAATAGGTTTATGGAAACGATTCCAAATGCTAAAGTGCTGCTGCTCATTCTTCATCCCTTAGGTCATTTTTATATAAGTGTATAAACATATGGGCGACACCCTGGCAACCACCACAGACACGTCAGCGTAGAGTCATCCGACGGCATTCCACAGGCCTGACCCCTCCCTGAGCGGGAGCCCGGAACACTGCCCTTCCTCTTCATGAACGTGGAAACAATTAGACTATTTCTATTGTGCATCTAACTAATCGTGTAAGGGGAAAGAGAGACACTAAACACAAACCCTGTGGCTTCCATGGAATTCAATTCCTCTACAGTTACAAGAGGCTTCCCTGGTGGCTCAGATGGTAAGGAATCAACTTGCCAACCCAGGAGACGCAGGAGGCGTGGGTTTGATCCCTGGCTCGGGAAGATCCCCTGGAGAAGGAAATGGCAACCCATTCCAGTATTCTTGCCTGGCAAATCCCATGGACAGAGGAGCCTGGTGGGCTAGAGTCCATAGAGTCACAAAGAGTTCTATGCATGTGGACTGCAGCCAAATTTGATCCTAGAAGCTATCCATGTAATATCCTGATCACACTTTACTAACTGCCCTTCTGATACCTGCTTGGTCCTCTCATCATGGATTCCTTCAATATAGTCTGTGGAGAGCACTTCCTCTGTCAGGCATAGCCCTTGTTACCAGGGCTACAATAACCATGGTTACAACAGTGTGGGGACAGAAGGACCCTTGTTTTCATGCATCTTACATTCTCATCCTAGAAAACAAGAAATTTACTATATTCTGTTTAAGGATAAATTTTAGATAAAAAGTTACAGGAAGTGAAAGTGAAAGTTGCTCAGTCATGTCCAACTCTTTGCAACCCCATAGAGTCCATGGAATTTTCCAGGCCAGAATACTGGAGTGGGTAGCCATTCCATTCTCCAGGGGATCTTTCCAACCCAGGGATCGAACCCAGGTGTCCCACATTGCAGGCAGATTCTTTACCAGCTGAGCCACAAGGGAAGCTACAGGAAAAGTGCCAATTAAATTCAGGTGTATTTTTTTAACCCCTAAATATTTCTTGCCAGTTGGAAAGGTACGACATTGAATGACTCAGAATGGTACAACAGTAGGCCAATTTTAGGCAACTGCTGGGAGAAGGCAATGGCACCCCACCCCAGTACTCTTGCCTGGAAAATCCCATGGATGGAGGAGCCTGGTAGGTTGCAGTCCGTGGGTTCACTAAGAGTCAGACAAGACTGAGCGACTTCACTTTCACTTTACACTTTCATTCATTGGAGAAGGAAATGGCAACCCACTCCAGTGTTCTTGCCTGGAGAATCCCAGGGTCAGGGGGAGCCTCGTGGGCTGCCGTCTATGGGGTTGCACAGAGTCAGACACTACTGATGTGACTTAGCAGCAGCAGCAGCAGCACAGAATTATACAGAGCAAAACACTAGCTATCTCTTTAATCAATTATTTTTGAAACATGGCAGCGGTTAATTTTATGTGTCAACCTAGTTAGGCCCCGGTACCCAGATATTTACTCAAATATTACTGTCGATGTTGCTGTGGAGGTATTTTTTAGACAAGGTTGATGTTTTAAATCAGTAGATGGAATAGTGTGAATGACTCTCCAAAATGTGGTTGAGGCTCATCCAACTAGTCAAAGGCCTTTTCAGAACAAAACCTGAGGTCTTGCAGAGACGAGGGGATCCTGCAAGTCCTGGCCTTCCATCTGCAGGACCACCTCCTCCTCAGGTCGCTAGCCTGCTAGCCCTGCAGATGTGAGCTTGCTGGCCTTCATAGCAACCAATTCCGTAAAATCTCTCTCCCTCTGTCTCTCTATTTGTTTCTCTTTTGGTCTCTCTTGGTCTCTATAGATAGGTAAAAGGATAGATAGATGGATAGATATGGATGGATGGGTAAATAGATAGAGGAGGACTAGATAGGTAGATTGATCATTCGATGAATTATAGATATATAAATATATCCTATTGGTTCTCTTTCTCTAGAGAGCCCTGGTTAATGCAAGAACCTGCATCACTTTGAGAGATGCTGAGTCCTATGCGATCTGGAGTTTATTTCAAGACTTTAAAAAGCCAAGTGCATAAAAAAGAAGGAGCAAAATTTGTGAGCTTTGCCCATTTACAAAGCATTTTTACACACGTATGATTAAATCTTCATGCAACTTTGAATTTCTCTCTATCATCAATTTTCTAATGAGGGACCAGAGCCTCAGAGAATTTAAATAACTTGTATAGGCTCATATGGATAGCACATCAGAGAGCTAGGAAACTAAACAAAATATGAAATCTAGTATGTTTTTAATTTTCGGAGAAATTTTCAAACATCAGAAAAGTGCAGAGAAGAATATAATGTGATCTACTCATTACTTAGATTTAACAGTTAATATTCAATATGTTTTGGTCACATGATGCAAACAGCTGAATCATTGGAAAAGTCCCCGATGCTGGGAAAGATTGAGGGCAGAAGAAGAAGAGGGCGTCAGAGGACGAGATGGCTGGATGGCATCACTGATGCAATGGACGTGAACTTGGGCAAGCCTTGGAAGATGGTGAGGAACAGGGAAGCCAGTCTATGGGGTCCATGCTGCAGTCCATGGGGTCACAGTCGGACACGACTGGGCGACTGAAAACAGCAACTCAATGCGCTTGCTGCATCTTTTTCTTTTCTTTTGTTGGAAAGTTTTCTTTTTTTATAGACGTGTCATTTCACTTTCAGATACCGAGAATGTACTTCTGAAAAATAAGGACTTTCAGGGACTTCCCCAGCAGTCCAGTGGTTAAGACTCCATACTTTCAATGCAGGGGACATGGGTTCAATCCCGTGTTGGGGAACTAAGATTACAT